CTCTCTCTCTCTCTCTCTCTCTCTCTCTCTCTCTCTCTCTCTCTCTCTCTGCCTCACTTTGCCCAACTCTCTTTTTTCGTTTCCATTCTCCTTCTATATTTTTGTATCTTTGCTTTCTGGCATTCGATATCAAATAGTTAAAGTGTGATTCATGTTCGGGCATATTGGGACACGTTAATCAGTTACCTCAGTCCTCCTGGTGCCCCACCTCCTCATTTTGGCTGCGTCCAGAGAGGGACATAAAATACTTTTTCTTTATCAACTACCGCTCGAAATGTATAAAAGTTCGCATGTTCCATTCTTTGGCTTTGAGCACGGTTTCTACACACACACACACACACACACACGCACAAATGACAGGCTCAATCGTTTGAAGGGTCGCTCGTTGAGTTTCATATCTGCACAAAAAAAGAAAAAAGTAAAAGAGGGAGAAGAAGAAGAAGAGCGCATTATCATAAAAACCTAAAAATATTATACGTAAATGCCGATTAAATCTTTATTTTCCGCCTTGACACACGCAGAGGGCCAGGGCGAAGCATATTTGGTTACGCACAATACATACAAACGTATGCAAGCACATGCGAGATGTGTTTAACAAATTGCCAGCTAAAAAAATATTATTATATGTATGTGCTATAGTATATATAAGTCGAATATTTAAGCATATATGTATAAATATATTTGCTTATCTTTCAAACTACCCTTGTCTAAGCAGAGATATATGAAGGAAATATCTTAAGAGGCAATTTAAAATGAAAATTCATATAAATATTATATTTGTTGCAGCATTTCTTAGTCTGAAAACTTATCAATCTGCTTTCGCCTATGTGATATATGATTTTTCTCAGTTGCCCACAAAAATCTTAGTAAGAAAATTATTAATAAATATATAAAAATGATCATTTGCATGAATTTTATTACAGTGACTTTTCAGACACCCCTCGCAGAATTTCCTACAAAATATTCTTAAATTTAAGTTCAACATAAAATCTAAAAGAAAAACTATATATAAATATCTAAGACTTATTCCATATATAAATACATAGTCTCTAAATTGCAAACCCTTCAGCCTACCCTCGCCTATAAATTTACACCAATTTTTTTTTCGGGTTGTTATTGTTGTTGTTGTTGTTGTAGTGTCCTTTGCTGACTGTTGACAGACATGTGACAGCGGATGGGCGCCCGATCGTGCAACCTGATGATTTAATAACTGCCGCAAAGCTGATTAGATATAGGGCTGCAGCTAGGGCCCGGGGTAGTGCCAAGGGCCGGACGTCGGCTGTGTCCAGGCAAAGGGGTTGCAAATTTAAAGGCTGCAGCAAATTTGTAAACGCTAAGCGAACGAGCGAGCGAGTGAGGGAGGGAGGGAGGGAGGTAGCGAACGAGAGGGGGCCGACGCTCGACAAGAGCTAACCACTAAGGATAACGGCGCTTGTTGCTTCATGTTGTTGTACTTTTTGCTCTGCCTGCGCGTATATGTGTGTGTGTGTGTGTGCAACGTGTGTGTGATTGATGACAACTCGAATAAGCGATGATTGATGCTTATTTTACACTTTTCGTAACAACACACGGCGACACATGTTCTATTTATATGTGTGTGTGTGTGTGTTTGCGTGTGTGTTTGCCTTGGCGAGTTTTTTTTGCTGGCTTATATATCGGGATTATTATGAGCACACGTTCGAGCGCCTCCAGACACCAACGGCAACAATAAAGCCGCCGCCGCCGCCGTCGACGACGACGAGCCGCAATCATCAATGTCAACGGCGCTCTACGTACCTCCCTTTCCCTTCCCCTTCCTCTTCCTCAAGCTCTCTCTCTCTCTCTCTCTCTCTCTCTCTCACTCTTGCAATCTGTGTTGGTGTTTGTAATTGTTTGAATCTGCCTGTGCATGTGTGTGTGTGTGTGCGAGGTGTTCTTGTGGTTTACTTATTGCTGCGCTGCAATACATCATCGTCTGGCAGCTAGCCGGGTGGGAGAATCTGCAAGCATCCGCCCGCTAACCAGCTAACCAGCTAACTAGCTCATGCTGCTGGATGCCAAATGCAGCAATTTGATGCCGCAGCACCTTTAAAATCGTATATATGCTATATGCTCGAACACTTTACCTCAGATATTGCAGAATTTACAGGCATTTACTATTTATTTATTAAAAAAAAAAGAGATCTTATTGCTTTAGTATTTATTACAATTGTAATCCTATGACGGGAAAAAAAATGGATCTTTGGCACATTTTGCTGAACATTGCATCGAAGGCAGATTTCATGGGCGCACTGAAAAAATGGCGGCCGGCGCCGTTGATGGACGCGGCTGCGTGACGTCACCAGCCATTTGGATGGGCCACAGCTGCAGAGAGAGAGAGAGAGAGAGAGAAGAGAAAGCGGTGTGAGCGAGAGAGCAATAGAGTCGATCGAATGTGTAGCCTTACCTTTCTATGACGACGTCGAAAGCGCTGGCGATGCGGCTGAGCCAGTTTACCGTTGGAGAGCAGAGCGCGATTGCGTCGCTCCCACGACTGTTGGAAACATGAGAGAGGGAGACAGAGAGAGAAAGAGAGAGAGAGAGAGAAAGGAAGTGAGAGTGAGTGGATTATATTGTTGATGAACAGGAGAGTGCTGAAAGAGTGAAATGGTGGAACAGAAAGAAATAGAAATAAGGATAAAGTAATGTGGGAAGAGAAGGAGAGAGATGAGGAAATTCCAATGTAAGAAGAAGAGATGAAATGAAAGAAAATTAAAGCTAGAGAATTGCCAGAAGGAAAAAAGAGTGTCACGAGAGGTAGAAAGAGAGAGAGAGAGAGAATGAACGGAAGAGAGAGCATTGAAAAGAGAAAGAGAATAGGATAAAGATAGAGAAAAGGTCAGAAATAGGGCGAACGAAAAACAGAGATAAAGTAGAGGCAGTAGGAAAAGAAAGATTCTCTATCAGAATGACAGAGAGAGAGAGAAAGAGAGCGAGAGAGAGAGTGAGGGAGTAAGTGAAAGAGAAATATGCCTGAATAAAAGTAGACGCAAATCGAAAGCGATAAAAAGACTGCTAGCTACAGTGAGAGAAAGATAAATAAGTAGAGAGGAAGAGAGACAGAGAGAGAGAGAGAAAAGTAGAGATAGAGAGATAAAGATCGTGAGCCCGTACCTGCATGTTAACATCGTATTTGATGCGCTGATCCAGCGCTGGCGCCTGCTCCTGCAGCTGGCGTCGCAGCCAGGCCACGCCCAGCTGCAGCTCCTCGCCGGCCATGTGGCAGATGTGCAGTGGGCAGCCAGAGGCGCGGCTCAGCTGCTCGAGATCGAAGGCATGCTCCACGTCGTACAGCTGCACGGCGTCGCTGTGCCGCGTGGCGACGAGCAGCACGGGCTTGCCGCGCAGCGTGGCATGCTGCAGGCAGCGCCGCAGCAGCTCAAAGCTGCCCAGGAGCTGCTCGTAGCTGGCGCTCAGATCGAAGCAATAGACGAGGGCGTGGCAGGTGGCAAAGTAGTGCTGCCAGATGCGCTGCATATCCGCGCTGCCGCCCACCTCGGTCAGCAGCAGACTCGACTCCGGATGCGTCACTCGAAAGCAGCGAACGCCATTCGTGGCGGCCATGTCGTTCGCGTCGCGCTCCTCCCCGCTGAGCAGATGCCCCAGCTGCGTTTTGCCGCTGCCCGCGACGCCCAGCAGCAGCAGCTTGAAGCGCGCTGTCGCCGGCCGCTGCGGCGTCCCCTCACAGCAGCAGCAGGAGCAGGAGCAGCAGGAGCAGCACCAGCGTGGCAAGCAGTGCAGCTGGCCCATTTAGCACATGGTTCGGCCTCCAGATCTGATTTGAATAGCTTTAACAGTTTCAACTCTATTTTGGATGTGGATTTTCACACGACTTCAATTGTTTTGTTTACCAGCCACTGAGGCCGTCAGCTGATTTGGCCGCCTCGTTGCCCGGGGCAACCGCGTTTGTTGTGGCCTTAACTGTTGCCATGGCTAAGACACGTAGCCAATGTTAATAGCATTTCAATTAACTAGATATTCTTACAAAAATTAACTCATAGTATTATTAACGTATTTCTTTTTGAAAAACAAACTTTTTGCTGTTCGCCACATTTGCTGTTGCTTAACTGTTAAGTTAACATTTTCTTTGCTGTTTTAGAACAGCTTTCAATAAAAGCTGTTTTACAGGACTCGCCGTTGTTAACAGCTGCCGCTAACAGAGTCTGTTTTCAATTCGAAAAAGCTCAAGCTTACAAAGCTTACCGCTAGATGGCGCTTTGTCCCAAATTTAATACCTCTTTTTATTCACCTTTATTTAATGCAAAATTTCCACGCTAAAATTTACCATTTAAAGAAAAACCCTCTTTTGGATTAGCTTTAAATACTTTAAGAAAATAACGGCAGCACGTCTTTAAAATATGAAGTAAATATATTTTTGTATCTTATATAATTTACATACATATGTAATACTGTACTAGCCTTGTTTATACCTTTTAAATATATTACAAATGAAATTTAATATCTGTCAGTTTGCTTACACATAAATATGTATTTGTACTTATATATTTTTAGTATATACATATGGATATGGTATAAAAGAATAGCTCAAAAAATTAATTTTCTTTTTTATATAATTAATTTTTATTTTCTTCAAATATTTTGCTCGACTCTATAAATATATATGAATATACTTATATGAAATGCATTGAATTTTATAATTTTCTTAAATTAATACTAAGTAAAAATACAAATTAACGTCATAATTAAGTTAATGATATCATTATTACAGTACTGCTATAACTTTTCGGGGAGCTGACTTCGATGTGGCAATACTTTCTTATTTTCTTTTTAAATGTTTGCTAATCGCCTTGAAGCTTAAGCAAAGGAAAGCTCTTTGTATTATTGCATTGCATTATGCTGTCATGCTCCATTAGCCCCACCCATGAGCGCCCAGCCACCCAGCCACCCACTGGAGTCAAACAGAGCGGCCGGCGAACGAGGCATATTCAAATTGAAAAGTAAGCAAGCTAAACGTTTACCAAACTTTGTCGCCCTGCCACCCGCCCGCCTCCTCCTTCTCCTGCTCCTGCTCCTTTTGCCTTATTCTTCTGCTGCTCCGCCTACCAATGTCTGTGGCCTTGAGGCTTGGCAACTCTTTTGTGCGAGCTCCTTTCTGGCAGCCGGCCCGCTCCACTCGCCCGCCTGACCCAGAGGAGACGTGTGCATGAATATGATGTCAGTCACCTGAGGTACACTCAGCTAACGTGATGGCTCCATCTCCATTCAGCGCCGTACCGCCGGCCATTTTGAAGATGGGGGCCTTAGAGGCGGAGGCGTGGCCCGTTTAGTCTGAAGATCTGCAGCTTGAAAGGATGTGTGTGCATATGCAAATATCTAGCTGATTGCCTGCACCTTCGCAGCTAAAGAGAAAACATTTCATTTGACACCATATTAAGTGAATGTTGCGAGGGTAGCTCGAAGTTATGTGCGCAACTGAGGTAAGTGAGGGATGTGCAAAGCATATTTATTAAATGTAACATAGTGGAATGAACTAATATGCCCCATTGCAAATGCAGAATGGATACATCGTATACTCTTATACTTCTTAGGCAGCCCTCGCGTCAGTGTGCCTGCTCAAATATTTGCTCAAGTATATGCATCAAGCCCAATGAAGCGACACCGCGTAACCGTCGCGTCGCCGCCTTTGTCACCGTGTGGGCGCTGCTCGCCCCGGCTGGCCGGCAGCGACCACCCCTGCCCCTCGCCTGCGTCGCACGGACGGTCGTGGGCATATGATGGCAGGTATGGCATTATTCGATTATTTGTGCGCAGCAGCATCATTTCGTTTGCTTTCCGGCTGCTTTCCTTTTTGGCCTTGTGCGAGTGGCTGCTGGACTCGAGTCGAGTTGCTCTTTGACTATGCCACACGGAGACGTCATATTTCCTTTTTGTTGCGCCACCTTTATTTTTCGTACTACTTTCCTATGGTTCTCTTTCATTTTGTTGCTGTTGCTGTTGTTGTATTTTTTGCTATTTTTCATTGCGCTTTGCTTGGCGCACTTGTCGAGTCGTTCACCGTTGGAAAAGTTTAGCGAGCTTAGCGCTGGGCGCGCCAGCTTGCCTCGGATTTCATTTCCGGCATGTTGCGGTTACGTTAAGTAACGGAGATTGCATCGCTAATGATGCAATTGTGTTTAGCGGAAATGAAAGCGGTTTCGTGTGACGCCTTGCCAGCCCACAAGCCGACCACTAAACACACACAAACACACACACAAACACGCACACGACGTAGACAAGCTCTCAAGAATTGGATGCTAGTCAGGCATCTAAAAGCCAATCAAGTTTAAGAAAACTGTAAATGAAGTGCCTGAGGGGAAAAAAATAAAAGAAATGAAAAACTATTCACCTATTAATTGGATTTGTGGTAGCCAACGGGAATGCCTGACTGACTGATGAAATGACTGAGACACTGGCTGACTGATGGAATCCAACTGACTCTGAATGAATGAGGAGTAGAGGGGTTCATTAGGCAGATTGACTGTGACTGACTCCGAGACTGACTGAGTAAATGAATCTGGACTGGATGAGGCCGATTGATTAACTTAGATGGACTCTAAAGTACTGACTGACTTTAACTAACTTATTGGCTATCATTAACTCTGATTGAATGTCTGACTCGACTGATAAAGCCTGACTGATTGACTGACAGATAACTGACTGAGTAACTGCATTGAGCACGTCTGCTTGACTCGGATTGACAAGCTGACTAGGCTGATTGACTTCAGCTGAGTCTGACTGAATTCTATTGACTCGGATCGACTGACCGTGAGCGATACAATGACTAAGTATTAAACCGAGTGACTCTAATTGACTACGATTGATTGCCTAATTGATATGCCTTACAAAGAACGGTAGAGCAAGGCGATCAGCAGAGAATGTATGGAGCTTGTAGTAGGCTCCTCTGCTCAGTTCGAGTACTGCCAAACACTTCAACTCAGCACAAATTTCGACTGACAAAGGATTCGTATTTTTTTGGTTTTTTCAGGCTAAAACTCAATAGCAAAATTCTTTGGAAGCATCGCATGTGACCATGTCAAATCCGCACTGTAAAACGCCCAGCGGACAGTCGACACAAAATGACTTAGTGAATACGCCAGAGCATTTATATCCCGGATACTGTGGACAACCGCGTAAATATGATCCCCGGGAATTTGGTTTGACCGGCAACGAGGAATGGCGTAATCCGCGCATGTTTCGCAACATGACATGTCCGTAGAGCTGCTTAGAGTATTCAGAACCAAACTGACCATTCCAAACGATTTTTAGATGAAACTGACGCTGAGGCACTGAATGCGATGCGGATGGCCCAGCCGCGTAGACCCATGTATCGTCCAACCGAAACTTCCATTGTGAACAATTTGACAGAGGAATGTTTGGCTGATGTGTCGGCGCCGCCGTTCGAATTGAGCATGCCATCGCCAATGTCTGGCTCGTGTGGAGAATACCTGGCTAATGTATCACCGCCACAATTGTGTACCACGGCTGACTCGAGTGTGAGTGAAAAAGATAGCAATAACTGTACGGATAGCGTACAGCAGAGGGTTGTGCATGATTTTAGCCAGCTGAGCGCTTGCAACTATGATCTATTGCCATCAGGGAATTGCCGAGATCCAGATCAATATTCAATGCCCGATCAAAAGTTCGACACATGCAGCACAGAAAAGGTAACAACAGTACAAAAGTTACCCCAAATGCCAAGTTTACGTTGACTTTATGGCAATCTGTGTAACCGGCAGAGCGAGATTGAGAGGTAGATAGAGGGAGAGGGATGGGAGAGAGAGAAAAGGTGCTCACAATTCACAATTTTCGTCATGTCCGTCCGTCTGGCTGTCCGTGTTGTGTTTGAATTAGCATTTGAACTTTGAAAGATCAACTCTTGGCGGGTATCTTCTAGTCGGTCAGCGCCGACTAGAGACTTTCGCAATTTACTAGTTGACATTCACTTTAAATGAAAACTCTCTGGCACACAGAATAATAATATCTTGACTACCACGGTGCGCACAATTACGACGCATCGGGATCAATCCGGAAAGGTGACAAGTCGCGTTGAGGAGACGAGCACGGTATCCAATGATCAAGGGGCTAATTTGGATAACACCCCTGTGTGCTGTCCAGGCCAGGGTCCGGCCGCCGGACGACATCTTCAATTCTGCAATATGCCAGATCAGAGCGAGAATTTAGCAGACATCTCAATGCCCCCATTCTATGACAATAACCACCCAGCGATGAGCACACGTATGGCTCAGAGGTCGATGGACCAAAGTGCTTGCCTCGAAAATATAAGTGCGCCCTCCTTCGCTGACAGCAACCTGGCTGACGTATCCATGCCGAGTGGCATTTGTGGTGCGAATGGTGATTCGATTCGGCAGCCAACGCAATATACCAATGAATGCTTGAACAGTGTCTCGATGCCTAGCTATATGGGATCTTCTGGTGCATCGCGACGACAAGTTACCCATGATCGCTTGGAAGATATAACGATGCCTTCATTTGGCAACATGTCCAGAGTATCGAATAGGCAAGCAAGCTATATGACTGGGGAATGCCTGAACGACGTCAGTGCTCCGTCGTTTGGGTCAAGTCCTGCTCGCAGTGGAGTGTATCGCAGCCAACCAAGATCGATGCTAGCACAGAGTAATTTAAACTCAACAGTTCTGGACGACATCAGCATGCCGTCCTTCGAGGGGGCATCGGGTGCTACGGCTAGATCAATGCAGCATCGTTCGATGAAATCGCAGAATATCTGTGACACATCGGCTCCATCGTACGTATCGTATGGACAGGGTCCGAGCTCTGGTGAATGCTTGGAGAACATATCAATGCCAATGTATGGCTACAGTGGACGAGCACAAATGACAAACGAATGTTTGGAGGAAGTCACCATGCCATCGTTTGAATGTTCCACAAATAATCAGTTCATTGAAGATATCAGTGTACCGACATTTGGTGGAGTATCGTGTGCGTCCCAAGCGCGAACTCCGACACGTCAACAATATTCGATGCCTGCGCAATCGACCTGCTGCTCAATGGATCAACAAGAGTATTTAGATCAAGTAACTATGCCGTCCTTTGGAAACTCAACACGAGGACCGATGCCCAGTGAGTGTTTGACAGATATCAGCATGCCTTCGTTTGGCGGAATATCCGGTGCATCGAGAGGTGGAATACCGTCGCCTCAACAGCGCTCGATGGCAGCCCAGAATATCTGTAATATCTCAGGTCCAATATATGAAAGTAGCCGAGTGGGACAGATGACTAACGAATGCTTAGATGATGTCACCCAGCCCTCCTATGGAAACAGTGGTAGAGAGGTGTCTTATAGCCAGTTTATAGAGGAAATGAGTATGCCGTCGTTTGGTGGAGTGTCAGGAGCTTCAAGACCCAGGACTCCGACGCGACAGCAACAGCAATCGATGCCTTCCCAGAATATCTGTGATGTATCGGCACCGTCCTTTGCTGGCAGTGGACGCGGAAGAATCAGTAACGAATATTCGGGTAAAGAGGTCTGTTATAGTCAGTGTTTGGAAGAAGTGAGTATGCCCTCTTTCGGTGGAGTATCAGGATCTTCAAGGCCCAGGACTCCAACATGGCAGCAACAACAATCAATGGCATCTCAAAATATCTGTGATGTATCAGCACCGTCCTTTGCAAGCAGTGGACGACAGCAGCAATCGATGCCTTCTCAAAATATCTGTGATGTATCAGCACCGTCCTTTGCAAGCAGTGGACGACAGCAGCAATCGATGCCTTCTCAAAATATCTGTGATGTATCAGCACCGTCCTTTGCAAGCA